AAATCTTCCCCTTTTCAATTTCGTTAAGCTGCGTATAGGTGGACACCATTTTTTAACCTAACGAAATTATAGTGTTGTCGAAGTGGCAAAAGATAAATAAAGTGATGTTTATTATCAAAAAAGGGAGAAAACTTGATAAATGTAACTATATCCAGTAACATCCGTTAATAAATTATAAGTCGGGGCAGCACATTGATGTTACTATAACCAGTGATTTTTATTAGGTACCAGCCTGACTGTGTTATTATATCAAAATATTACTGTAAGAGCGTTGACGGTAGTTCTAGACAAATTGTGCAGAAAACATTAGATGGAAATGTTCGGATTTGAATTCTATCCGCCTTGCTGGTGATACACTTAAAATCCCAGAAAAGCATGTAGTAAAAAACTCGATACCGCTGGTGGTTGGTGTTGAATGTATTATGAAAGAGATTAATTCACAAAAATTTAGAGTCTCATAATTGGGAAGAATTCAGTTAACTAATGACTTGATTACTTATGGATCGCTATATGCAGGATATTACCCGAATTGGCCGGGTTTACAAATATCGTGTTTACCGCTTGGTGGTATTAGCGTTTTGTCCGAAAGGAGACAAAGAATATGTGAACCATATTGACGGTAATTCTACAAACAACAGGACATCTAATCTCGGATGGTGTACACCGAAAGAAAACACTCGACATGACGTACGTCTTGGGCTTTATAGCAACAATCCTATCCGACGTGCTTTCAAGATTTTCGATGATGAGAATTTTCGTCCTTAACCGAATGCAAACATTAGGCGAGCATGTCAAATTATGTTGGAATGTATCGTTGGGAGTGTGCAAGCACAACATCGCATAAGAATCATGAAGATTTTTCACAGTAGCGTAGATCCTCTGGATGTTACATGAAGTTTATTTTTCAGAGATCACGGACTTGGTTAGTTATTGTCCAAAACGCATATATTTGTGATACTGCACAAATCAGGTGAGACATAACTCGTACTGTGCGAATATTAAGAATGGAAAAGTCCCTTCCGGACCACCTACAAACAAAAAGACAATAAGTATATATGAATGAAGTAATAAAGCTAACTCGTTTGACCATCATACCTTCCGTTTCTATGGTTTACGGAATAAAGATCAAAGGATACTTGATCGGCCCTTCACAATGATCAGTAACGAAAATCGAGTTCCCAACCGAAAAGCGAATCCCATTAACACAAGAAATTCTTTATGGTAATAAATCTCACTGAAATAAAGTACGCTACAAGATCCTTCCGAGTTGTATCATGACTCTGCAAATTACAAATGATATACAAATTCATACGCCTATCATTCCTTTAGCCATCATACGAGAATCATTTACGTAAGCACAAAAAAAATTTATCATAATATCATTATTTAGGCGTTCTTTTCACGTTTAGAATGGGAATATTTTCAGTTACGCGATTTCTTCTTTTCCCTTTGACATTCAATCCACTTAATCTTTTCGCCATACTCTCGATTTCTGAGAGTTTGTTCTACAAAAAATTAAGCCAAGTTAGCCAATCATAAATCAATTGCTATAATAGTATAATAAAGTAACAACATAACGTACCTCCAGTTCTTTTAAAATACAATAGATATCCTCGAATAACATACAATCATTTTCGTTACATGGTAAAGTACATTTATCTATTAAACCAAAAGGATAGACACCATTACCATACCATGACATTCCGTAAATGCTGATTTCTAATCCTATATTGGGTTATTATTCGCGGTTTAGCAAAAAACTTTTTACATATAAGGCATTGAGAAATAAACTTGCCTATCTGTGTCCAACCAAACACAATCAACTTCTTTCTTTCTTCGTCAGATATATGATTCCATCCTTTTAAAATTT